CTTTGTTGCAAGTGGCGAGGCTGTAGCCCTTGTAAGCTTATGAAATTATGTTTAATGAATACGTTTAAAGGGTTGAGATTTTAATCGAACCTAAGTTTCGATGTTTCTTCTGTAACGGTGGAAAGTACAGTGAGTTAATGTGAAAGTATAATATGTTTGTATGCAACGAATTTGAAGAAAAGTGTATATTAACTTCACAGCCTGCTCTTGTTACTGTAGATGTTACATAATTCAGATTTTCGCAGAATTTGCAGGCGATAGCGGCATATACTCTAATTATGACCAGAACAGCTTTTTGTGATGATCATTCATAGTGGCTCTCGAAGCTCAGTTTTAAAGCTTGGTCATTTTTTATGTCATTTCATGTCTTTGCAATTTCCTTTTGATAATCTCTTAGTCAGACTCTACATCAGCTTGGCTGTATGCTTTAACAGTGAAGACGTCGGGTATCCTCATATATTGAGTGATCTTCCCGATTGGTTGTTGACCTTATCAGCATACTTTTGCAATTTCGTAATTACTGCGCAGTTCTGAGAGGAAAATGATTGCGTACTCGTTGGTTAATGACTAAACTTTATAAACAATGAAGGAAATTTTTTTACGGACGCAACAAGTGCTGATTAACTTTAATTTTTAGATTTTCCTAAATTCCCTTTAAACTTTCTTCGGAAGAAGCATCTATTATTTCTAAAGGATGCTAGTGCGCTTTTAACTATTGAATTTATCGCGGTACTGCTGCTGCTCACAACTTTCCGCTTCAATTTACGATATTCATTTGTTACCGATTACTTCGTATTGATGTCAATTCCTTAGTTTAAAATTACGTACACTATTTTGAGACAGAACAAAATCCGAGTTTAGGAAAGATGCATCGCAATTCTGTGGGTTTGTAATTTAGCGTTATTCCATTGCGAATCGTAATTGAAACATTCTGCAACGTTTCCTTACGCAACAATCGATTTGGGGATGTCCTCATTAACCTTTAGCATCCATCATAGATCATCATTGTATCTATTTCATGGCATACTGTACAATGACTGGTCTGACGTCAGAAACAAGGACAAATAACGTTATCTACCTAGGATAGAGAATTTAAATAATAGCATGACACTGTCCAGCTACAAGTAATGACCTTTGTAGTGCCTCATTTCACCAAGCCGAAAACTGAGAGTAGAAGAGGTGTGCCTTTCTTTGATGTCATTTGCTCTATATGATTCAACCTTGGGGTCTTTCTGGCGGCAGTGATATGCGATTAAATGCAGGATTGCGTAGACAGAGTGATTATCATCAACTGACGCCAAACAACTGAATTACAGTAGAGTATTTACTCCTGATCAGGCACGTAACTTTGAAAACGTATTATTAACGACTGGATGTTAACGCGATTACTGTAACCAGAATTCATGAAACTCTTTATGCCTCAAAGACGAATTTGTCTGCGAGAAAGCCACGCCAACTAAGAACTTAGACTGAAAGATTCAAAGCCCCCTTACTTACTAATTCCCAAAGAGTGCACGAGGAAGTCATTGTGCAATATGTTTTCCGCATGACAAATTGAGAACGAAAGTTCCAAAAGATTTTTAATGGTCGATATCAGTAAATAAAGAAGATATTGCATACATGTACACAAAGTAGATAAAACAACCGTGATGTTCTGGGATAACCACCAGGAATAGTGGCTTTCCAATTCCACCGGTAAATATTTCATTTCAGTTATTGACATCAGATTTACGCAGCTAAAATGTACCGCCTCCTTACTTCTAATCACCAAGGTAGAGCATGGCTGATCATCAAGGATTTGGTCGCGGCACCGCGACATGCTTAAACGATTCCGTAAGTAACTAGGATAGAAAGAGAAGTGCGTTTTCGCACGTAAATCCCGTATCAGTAATTTAAATGAAGAAACAAATCTGTGTTCTTTGAATGGTAAAAGATGATACGCCCCGTTAAACATTCCTGCGCAGATTTGAATATTGTTGTCGCCCTTCCTCGAAATGTAACATTTTATATTGTTATTTATAAATCAAATACGGAGCAGCATGATTTTTCGAAACTCATTTAAGTAATCTGCTAAGCCTCCTCGTGTAATTGAGAGAGTAGAAAATGTTTGACAACAAAGTCAACACAAACAATATGTACATATTCTCGATGTTTGTCATCTGGTTTTGTATGGAAATGTTTCTTCACGAATTCCTTTTCAGTTCTAAACAAGTGCCAATCTAAAAACTTTACCGCACGGATCTTGCTTTGACATTTTTAATATGGTCTGGTTTATGTCATTTATTCTAGTCAGTAAGTATCAATGCACAAACCGAATTTCAGATTAGTCATTCTACGGGACATGATTGGATATCATAATGCCAAAAATCCGGCCTCGCTGTCGTAAAATACCAATACCGCCGCCAAATGAAGAGTCGCATGCCAAAATACAGTATCAACACACTCCACCTTAGTGCTGTTTAACCTGTTAATGATAGACTTTTGCAGCTATTCTTGTGACCTTAAAATGAATTCACTTAAGAGAAGTAAGCTCTACAAACATGGAAAAATACGCACAGACCAAAGTTTGAATGAGAGCCGCACAATGCAACCCACTATCGGCAATTACGTTATTGAATGAGTTTCGACTGGATTAGCGCTGTCAATAGCTACACTGAATTGCACTCGCGTGGTGAAATGAATATAAAATCAGTGTCTCATGACTGTACTGTGTCTAGATCAAGTTGGACAAGGCAGCAGCAGAGTTGAGGATTAGAATTAAGGTCAATTCACAGTGACGAATACACGAATACAGCAGCATAAACTACTTTTGCGACAAACCTATAGGACTCAACGAAAATCATTGTATCAAGCAATGCACAAATTAGCGTGCATTAACATCAACGGCAAACAAAGATTCTGCGTATTGCTCAAGCGTGTTCCTTCAAATGTGCAAAACGACCCCGTAATGGGATTTTGCAAAAGTGAGGGAAGAATTGAAACTATCAATCATGCTCTTCACCACGAATCGCGCGTTGGTCGAAGATCGATGCTGCCAACCTGAAAACATTCTTGAGCGCCCTTGCGTTTGCATTGATCGCAACCTCTTGTCGCATATCATGCGTCCCTGAGGAGGGATCGATTATGGTTTTAAATTTTAGACTTACTACAGGCTTGTAATGAGATTCTCAGCGTCGCTCTTATCTGTCTTTTCGGGAATTTATCATTTCCCCAAGGAAACTTTCGCAAATAGTAGAAAAGTCTACGCGACTTTTTCAAATTCATTCAGCAGAAGAAACCTCCAACTTTTGTGACAATTAGCTCTTAGAACCAGCAAATTAGTATTCAGCTTTTAAATTACAACCGGTTGCTCATAATGTCAGCGACAAAAATTCAATAGGTGCGAAAACTTTTACTCCTACGAGAAGTCAGCCATAAGCATTGCACAATTCAAGTATTGATGCCGTTGTTGCAGTGAACTTCATATTAAATAACGACCTTTAAATATCACTTAACTTATGAACAGTAGGGTACGTGAAGGTTTAACCATGGGTTAAAAAGAGAACACCACGCCGATCTGCTCAGACCACATGCAAATGACGCTTCCTGCGCATAGGGGTATTTTTCTCATTAGTTTTTAAATTAACTTACATATTAGGCCTATGAAGCAAGCGATTATGATATTCAAAGAACATGCAGCCATAAAGCATGTACATCTAAGCGTGCTTGCAAGCTGCAGCATGACAATACCGCGGTTTCAAATTGCTTGGCAATACGAAAAATAAACGCTTGACAGAAGTGGCACTGGAATCCAAACAAATGTTGACAGCACCCATGAATACGCTGCCGGAATTTGCTGCTATTGTCGGTAGCGAAGCCATATTATCAATACTAGCGGTTTTGCGGGCATTGTGTTTACGAATTGAATTCAAACCAGTCTATCCGAAATGGCACCACAAAATTAGGAGAAACTGCTCCTGATTAATCATGAAAGTTACACTTAAACACCACTACTATAATAGACTGCATGTGAAAGGCGATAAGATCGTCATATCAACGAGATTAAGCCCATGGCTACATCACTAAACCTTTCGCAAATCGATGCGTTTACTCAAGCCAGAAATCCTATCTACTCATCCTGTGGTCTATCCAAAGGTACCATTAACGAGACAACGATGGGACAAAATTACAATGTTTATATCCGCTGTGAAAGCACAGCAAACAAAAATCTCAGCTCATAAACCTTCTTTCTATATATGGCCGTTGTACGACAGATAATCACTTTGATGGAATCTATTCTGGTAACTTAATGTCTAATCATATTAGACAAAATCTTTTTCAGTGCTTTGAGAAGTGTCAACAGAGTATTAGATATAAAAATCATTAGTAGAAGAGTTAAATTAAATGGAGTTCGCAGCTTTCCTCTAATCAGTGCTGAAATTTAGAGGCGACGAAGTGAAACTGGCAACTCAACACGCTTACAGTGCAAAGAAAACTTGCTACTGTCGGGAAAGATGAATTTTATCTGACGCAGAGCAACTTCAATTATGCACATTCAATCGCTCGAAAATGTCGTCGTTAACGACTGGGTCTGTAGATAAATTAAGAAATTAAATACAGAAACTAACTCAAAATCCCTATTGAAACAGAACATCTCATACTGCAGAAAAATAAAACATTTTTATTCTACACAACACGATTCTAATATATCAAACAATTATCGGGATGAAGTAGTGCTTCTTTTCCAGTTAACTTTCAAGTGCTTAACTGCACAAAAGAGGTTCTTTTCTTTCTGTCTGATCATCCATAAACATGAACAATTCACAGAATATGACATTCAGACGACATATAGACAATTAACCACGCACTTGGTGGGCATACCTCCTGCTCAGTCAATGCCAATGCTTCTGCAAAAATGAAATGAGACCGCTTTCGCTTTTCGTAACAAGAGTAAACAAACATGAGTTTATAAAATTTATTCCAAAGTAGACATCTAAAGGACGTGAATATATGAAAACATTTTAGTCTTCCTCGTCATCGTAACCCTTCTTTTTGCCTTCGGGGTTGATCTTAATCATATCGTCAATCCGCAAAATCGTGATAGCTGCTTCCGTAGCAAACTTAAGTGTTTTAAATTTTGAAAGTAAGGGCTCAAAAACACCAGCGTGACGATTATCTCGAACGTTGCCGGTTTGCAAATCCAATCCGTGCCTTAAAATACAAAATAATGTACATGATCCAAACAAATTTCTCTGCAGAATAAAAAAGTGCACCTCCAAGCGAAACTCCCTAGCATAAAAAGTTCTTCAGAAAAAATACATTTAGCTTCATCTCAGCGGGCTTTCTTATCAGATTATCGTATCTATAATGATAGTGTCGACCGAAAGTGGAAGTATACGACAAACTGCAATAAAATAAATAAGAAACACTCAAACAAAAATACTGCATTGAAAACTCCATTTTTTTAGTAATTCTCGGGTAACTTCTAGTGTAATGCCTCCGCGGAATTTTAAAGCAATGTTGCTCAAAAGCGCATAGTACAAAAAATAATCAAAGGGAAGGTCTAACACTTATTAATGAGTTGTTACACTAAAAGACTTAGAGCCACTGTCGGAATTAACCCTTAAAAAAGTATGATGCTACTTTTTTACGATGCTACTAATTCACCGAACAGTTGCGGACAGCCGATGCGCGGGACCGAAAACAACTTAACATCGAAGGGCAACACCGACGAAAACGCAGCCTCGATGACGAAGACCTGGCAGATGTGGTGTGAGACAAGCACTACACCTCATGACATCAGTCTACTGAAATAAAATTGCAATTATACAAGCTGTTACTGGTGAAAAACTTCTGGCTGGAAAGTTTCAAGCACTTAACTGAGAAAACTGCGCGTAAAGAAGAGTTTACGATAGGACCTGTACGGCAAGTAGGAACACTGAAAAAGTCTCAATAATCTTGTAGGCACTCCGACAATTTGTTTCGACACACATTTAAAGAAAGCCTGCATAAGCCTCCTCATATGATGTTTCAGCGTTGTTTATGACCTTTTTGATATCATAATCCTTCCAGAGCTTCTGATGAGTTATCATTTCCGTCTGTCCCACCAATCAGCTGTCGTCTGGCTCGCCGGAGATACACGGAACTGAATGTCGCTACCACCCCTTGATACATTAGCTTCAATAACGGTTGCATGTGGTGGCACAGAAACAACGTCTATGGTGTCAGCCAGAACATCAATGCCAATAAGACAGTCATGGGCACTGTCAGCACCTCTCGACAATAAGGGAAACAACGACGTCACCTAACAGCAAAAACGGTTATTTACTCAAGATTTCTTGCTTGCTCGTCAAGTATTTTATTTAGTGCCCTTGAATTTTCTGAGGGGTTTACTTTTGCCATTCCCCTCCACATTGCTAACAATGAGAAGGCAAGGTGATCACTGGTGGCGTCAAATCATAGGCGGTTTCTTACCCACTCAAGACGTAAGAACAAGATTTTCCTCCAAAATAACTGTTGCCCGATCACTCCATGATGCGTCCCTTGCTGAGAGGCCGCTGCTACAAGGGCAAAGTTTCTGCTGCTTGATTCAAAACGATGTGATCAGACGAAAAGAAACTGTTCCACTACAAGTCAAAGATGTTACAGGAAATTAACATAAGAGAATATGTTTATCGCTGTTTCGGAATAAAAGGCCTTGCGTACATTGCAAAACCGATAATCCATAATTTTTACTTGTACAAAAGACTGAGCCTATGATAATTTAAATCTTCGACTGCCGTATGGCTGGGGAAGGTAATAGTAACTTCATAGTTGAATGCCCAGATTTCTAAGCCAATGGTCGCAAAGTTAACATTCTGAACATCAATTAAACTGCCGTCAAACTATCGCAGCGGGCATTCAGAAATAATGTACCGCATGGCTCAATTTGTATGGCGGCAGTCACAATGCGGGCTTGACTTCATTGTCCAAAGTGAAGGTGTCCGTAGCGCCCTTATCTTGTTCGAATCCGGAATAACACTGACTATTCTAGGAGAACCACGTCCATGAAATAGTGGGTTCTGTGACTGGGTCGAAGATAACTTCACAACAGGTGGCTGTAGCACACTAGTCAGCTTATCACTGTTCCTAGAGACTCAGTCGTGGCATCGTCACTCGTTATCATGGTGGCTGGTGTGATTACAGGTGTCAAATCTGCGGCTGCTGGAAGGCACTAAGGATAGGAAGCTGGCGATTTTTATCAATGATCTGGAAAACGCGAGATGCCTGCTCGCCCGTATCGAGGTGACGAAGTTAAAGATGATCAGAATCCGTAACCACTGAGTGTGGGTTGACTGTTTATGCTAGAGTCACACTGCCTCACTGAGCTGTGTTTCTGCTTTACCTGTAGAAAAAGGTATCTGTCTGATGTAGCTCCAGACATGGGAGCAGTACTCCATGACAGAAAACACGAAGCAAGGACCTAATACGCAGGGCAACTGCACCCAACAGATAAGATTTATTCTCGCCTTGATCTTTTGCTGTAACTTCAGTGTAGCTTAAATGTGACGGTCCAATAACGTGTGAATTTAATGAAGCGATAATTCAAATAAACTATTGTTACACAAAATTTGGCTTAGCCAATGCAACTGAATTCACAGCAGAAAGACACGGAAGTTTCTTAAAATAAGGCTCAATTCCAGGAACTCAGAAACAATAATCATGCAGAATACTGCGAGGATGTTTGTTTTAAAATGGAATAACGGGTTAAACGACAGACTCTTAATCTTGACTATGAAATGGGGCAGGTTAAAACGCATGGTTTAAATTTCCTGCATATCTTCATTTAGCAGCGACGGATCATGACGTACTGCAGTAGTACACGATGTAATAGTAGTACCAGAAGTAGTACACAATGCACAGCACCAGCAAATAGCTTACATTTTACCCATCATAAACACCAGTTCGTTGCCTGCCTAAAACATTAAACATTTCAACACTGATTCAGAAACGATCCAGATAATACTATCGATTATGGTTATTAAATGACTGTGCATTTTCTAGGAGACCTCTGTATACCGGAAATCGCTACATTTTTGTTTCATGCACGCATATCATTTGTTGAAAATTTTTAAACGGCATCTCCCAGGAGTCACTGTAAGAGACAATTTCAGAGAACCTTCTATAAAACTAAGATAAAGAGAGAAAAGTTATAAATTCACACAAATATCTTCAACATTAAATCTGAAACTAATAACAATCGCGGATGTAGCAAAAAGAAACGATTAATATCATACACTAAAATAAATTGACGCTCACCATTTCAAGTGTTCAAACTCAGGGCTGCTTTGCGACTTGCTGTGAAATGCGCGCAGCTTTGAGACCAAATCGGTGCTGTCCTGAGCTGCGTTGACAGCCAAAACTTTTGGTATTGACATGAGAGCAAAGGCAAATTCAGCGACCGCCAGCTGTTCTCGGGATGCCTAAAAACGTTGATTTTGTTAATGAGTGATAAGCCAAACGCTGGAAAAACATTAAATTAGACAACCTACCAAAGAAGTGGCTAAATTTTCCAGATATATAGAAAGCGCGGTTTCAACAGCGCCTCCGCCTACCACCACCTGCTTGCATTCTAAAACTCGCTTTACCACACACAAAGCATCATGGATACTGCGCTCCATTTCATCGATCATGAAATCGTTAGCGCCTCGAAGAATTATCGAATTAGCTGGACGACTCTTCGTGCTATAAAATCACCACAGTGATGAAAAACGTAGAGTGCCCTATCTTCACCTTACCCGTTAATCAGTATCAGCTCGTCGTCGCAAATACGCTGTTGCACAAATTCGTCAGCGTGACCAATCATATTTGAGTCAAAGCTTTCCTCGCCATCAATGTTTGCCAGAGACGAACACAGCGCAGCTAATGCAAAACAGGAGTGAAGTGTCAGCTTAAACTCGACAATAACGGAGGGTGAAATTTTAAATAACTTAGTTTAGCTTTCCAGCAGTTTTCCCAGACATGAAAAAGGTTGATATGCGAATCGAATCACATAAATCGACTGAAAACCAAGAAAGGTAACATACAGTAAAGCATAGAAAGAAACGGGTTCCAGAACATGTCACGGCTCATCTATGACGTACGATGGAGTCAAAACGATCATTAGAAGCATACACCGTGAAAAAGAGCTTCCTATTCAGGCAGAGGCCCATCGAGAGTCAGAATTGCATCCATTTTTGTTTGGAGATACACTGTTCAGATAAAAATTATCCTTACGATGCAGCATCTGTCAACTGAAAGTAGACAAGGCATGAATGAAAAACTATATAAAGTTACAGAAAAAGCGGTTTCGTCTCAGTAGGACAAAACGAAATAAAAATTGCGCTGTTTCAACGGAACAGTCAAGAAAAAGTGAAGACCCCCTTAGTGAAGATGGGAAGTCACCTGCTAAAATTCATGCATTCAAATATCTTACTTTCTTTACACAAGATAACCGAAAATCGACAAATTATGCAATGAATCAAAAAAGGAATTGGTTCAAACAGAAAGGTAAGCGGCGTGCAGCGTGCCTAGAAATTGCTTATCAAGCAAAGTGAAAGTTATTGAAGAATAGGAATCTGCATTGCTCTAAGAAGCTGCTATGTAATGCCATAATGAAGGGACACGAACGTCAGCTAAACTTGGTAGAAATATGACAGCACAGAGATGTGCGCATGAGCCTGTCGAAAATGAAACACCACATCGAAAAAACCATCATTACTGACAACAGGCGTAAAGCAGCGACAAAAAAGATAAACAGAATCAGAATTCGCTGGTACATTCGTGCAAATATGCATATTACAGGGCCATGCCCGCAATGTACTTAAACCTGGCTATGCCAAGGGAAAGAATAGGCTGCTCAGGCAAGATCGAAGAGAATGTTGCTCGACGCAAATTTTCATCCACTTTACGTCGCTGTTAGCCATCACATAAACAAAATCCCCAGGAAGAAACTTGCGTTGGTGCTGTTTATTTGCTAAGATAATCACTTTGGGCCGTATGCATAAGCACAACTTCTCCGGTTTATCATATTTGCTATATCTGCAGCTTTTCAATACTTATGCTATAAAGCATCGGATACTTTATCGTACAAGGAAAAGCTCCTCTCCCAAAACAGATTTCACTCTCATTGATTAGTCATGTTGCTGATGGCATCCTCCTACACGTCTGCCGTTTCAACTTCTGTACGAAAAGCAAACTGGTTCACATAAGCGGTTCATGCTCAACCAGTGTGTCTAACAGGACCAACCTCATTTTTTCCATCACCAACTGTGTCCATAACAGAATAGTCATTCATTACGTTGTCTTGCAAAATAACTCCACATTATGCGCAGACGTCCATGCTGCTGCATGTAATTCAGCCCCCTTCTTGCTTATTCGACAAAACAACTCTCTCTATGCTGTAAAACACTGACCTGACAAGGACAAGGTACAAGCGGGTTTTGAGGTAAAAGAAACTCACTTTTTATCTGAAATACTGGACAGGTTTCAAAATCCGCTCGAGACGAGGGCGATTCTTTAATTTAACTCTGACGTGACAGTCCCACTGCTAGATAATGGAGTCGAATCACTAAAACTGGTCAACCTCGTTTACCGTTTAACCTTCCATTCCGCATTCAGATTACGGTGGTTGATCGTTCCTCATAACATCTGACTTCAGGGGACTAACGAGGCGCCTAACGTTTGCAACTATGTTGGGTGTGAAAGCCCCAAAGTGGAGTAAGCCCAATCCCTGAATTACTAACCAATGACATCTACGTACTTCAGGCTAGAAAGATATTTCGTAAGATATATTTTGGAATAAAACCATCCTCTCTGCCAGAAGCCACATTGCCTTGAAGAAAAACGTGCAGAACAGCACAGAATAGCAGACAGAAGTACATCCGCCTAGAGAACTCCACCGTTAACAAGAAACTGGTCAGGCCACTATTTTGACTTTGTAACAGCAGACACGTCTATACATACATCACTTCAAAAATGGAAAACATGTGTTTAAGTATACCGTTTATAGAATTAAATGGCAATTATCAACTCCACCGTTGACGGTCCCAAGCCAGCATGAGAAAGGAAGAGGGATGGAGACCGTGGCGAAGTCTCCTTAAAACTTAGCAACCTGCCCCTCATGGTACTGGCGCCTTCGAAAATTATACCGGCTCAGTCGTCGCCCGGGTTACCAAGGGCCGCGCAGGCTGTACGGGGACT